TCAGGCAGTTAAGCATCCGACTCTTGATTTCAGCTCAGGTCATGATCTCATGGTTCGTGGGTTCCACCCGCACACGGGGCTCTATGCTGACAGTGCAGAGCCTGCTTGGGATTCTCTCTCTCCCTCTCCGCTCCTCCCCACTTGTTCTTTCTCTCTCTATCTCAAAATTAATAACCTTAAAAAACTTTTTTAAATATTTATTGAGCACATGCTATGTGCCAGGGATTGGACTAGTCATTGTGGATACAAGAGTGAACAAAACAGGCACCTGGCTGACTCAGTCAGTAGAACAAGCAACTCTCAATCTTGGGGGCGCGAGTTCAAACCCCACATTGGGTGTAGAGTTGACTTTTTAAAAAATGAGCCAAACAGAGATGTTATATCTTCACAGAACAACAAAGGAGGGCAAATATTTATTTAATTACAATTATGCTAAGTTTTATGAAAAAAAATACAGGAACAGTGAGAACATATTACAAAGGGGTATAAACTAGGTGGGAAAGTCAAGAAATACACCTATTGGAATCGACATTCAAGCTGAGAGCTGAAGAATGAAGAGCAGGTATCTAGGTAAAGATGATTAGGATAAATGTTTTAGGTTGCAGAAACAGGCCCTATGCAAAGGCCCTGTGGTCTTTACAGGAAGCAAGGTGAAGAGTGGCATGAGATGTGACAGGAGATATGGCAGGTAGCAGACTGCATAGGTCTTTGGAGGCTACATTCATGATTTGGACTTCAATTCAAGAGCAATGAAGAACATCGAAACATTTTAAGCATGGGGAGACGTGATCGGACGTGTCTTTTTAATTACTTGTAGGATTACTTGTACAGAATGGATGGGTAGAGGCAAGAGAAGACCTAAGGAGACCAGACTGGAGGCTACTGTGGGGCACCGGGCCAGAGAAGATGGTGGCTTGGGTCATGAGATTGACTGTACAAGGGGAGAAGAAGTCCGTAGATCTGACAAATGTTAAGGAAGTTGAGTTGACAGGATTTAGTGTTTGGAAGGATACACTGTGGGTGGGGGAAGAGCCATTTACAGAGCTAGAGACCATTCTTGGAGGACAAAGTTCGGAAGGGAGAATGATGAGTTCAGTGTGAACAAGTGGAATTTCAGGCACATGGGAGCCATCCAAGTGGCTATGTCCATTAGAGAATTGGATACATGGATTTGGAGCTCAGAGAAGGCAGAACTGGAATACCAATTTAGGAATCACTTAGACATGAACTGAAGCAAGGAACTACGGTGATCATTATAGGGTGACACTGAAAGCAAAAGGGGGCTTAGGATCAAACCTTAGTGAATACCATTTGATGTTGGAGTTGAATGAGGTCAACCGGTCAGGGAGACTGAACTGAGCCGCCAAAAACTCATGAGAGCTGTAGGAGGAAAACCAGAAAAGCGTAGGGTCATGAAAACCACAGGAAGTGAGTGAGAGTTTGCTAAAGAAGGATGAGGTGGGTTATGCCAAATGCTCCTATTGAAAGGGGTCCACTAGAATTGGCACCTCGGGGCTCCTGATATCCTTGGTAAGAGAAATCTCTATGGAACAGTGGTAGTAGAAGCCATATTGAGTTGCGGAACGAATAGAAAGTGAGGTGGTGTAGACAGGGACAGTTAGGAGAACATTTCAGGCAGAGATGCAGCGTGAGCAAAGGCATGGAGGCCTGAAAATTTATGGTGTGTTTGGAAAACTTCAAGAAAACCCAAATGACTAGAGACTTGAGTGTGGAACAGGGAGAGGGAAGGCAGAACGGCTGGAGAAGATGATGAAAAGGGAAACACAGGATGTGAACACCGTTGACTACAAAGGACAAAAGGAAGGAAAACTACTATTTTTTTTTAATGTCTTCTACATCCAGGGAGTTTTCACATCGTCTCTCTCAAAACTCATGTAAACCCTGTGAGTAATGGAAACATTCTTATCTTCACTTTTCCCGCTGGGAAAATAGCTGTTCGGAGAAGCTGAATGATTTACTCAGGATCACACATCTTGTAGGCGTTGGGATTCCAGGCCCCCTCCCATAGCCGAGGATCTGAGCAAGTGCCTGGCCAGGAGGCAGTGTCACGTGGGAAGAACAGGGCCAGAATCCCTCTTATCCAGCAGAGATGTAGTGTCAGGTGAGTTAGCCAAAGCAGAGAAAGAGTAGTCCAAAAACCAAAGCCAAGCGCAACAAGAAAATAGTTCAAGAGCCAAATGGTCGCTCCATCCAGAAGTCAGGTTGCCAGAGCCAAGAGAGGTTAGTCTACAAAGCCAAAACCCCACCCAGTAATTGGTCCAAAAGCCAAGTTAATCATAAGCAGTAGAGCTTGATCAAAGAGAGGGCCGAGGAAAGCCAGGAGACTTCACAAGTAGGTGAGCCAACAGCTAAGCCTCAAGCTTCCCGTCGAGCTGACATCAAGGTCCCGGGGATTTGAAGATGGGGAGGAGGTGAAGAACTAAACAATTAGGTCCTCCCGAGAATAGCGTCATTGGAAATGTTTTGTGCAAAGATTCTGCTGGTGCCTCTGTGAAGAAGAGCCATGAAGGTCCAGATAACACTACCTCCTCAATCTGGATCTCAGAGAGAAAGGACAACTTGGGCTCAGTCCACAGATTCAACTGCTCTCTGCAGAGTGGAATATGGGTAGGGCACTAGCTTGGTCCTTGGACTTGAGAAATTATACTGATTTGTATCCTAGAGGAAAAATATGAAGACCCCTAAAGAGGAACACTAAACACAGACCTAGTCTATCCAGGGTACTCAAGACAGCAAGAGCTGTAGGGCAACCAAGCTAGGCCACAAGCATCTATTAAGGGCTTGCCTAAAAATAAGTCTTCTCAGGGACATGTGGCTGGCTCAGTGGGCGGAGCATGACTCTTGATCTCAGGATTGTGAGTTCAAGCCCCATGCTGGGTGTAGGGATTACTTAAAAATAAACTCTTAAAAAAAAAAAAAAAAGTCTTCTCACTGGCACAATAGTTTTTCACTGTTTCATTTGAGCCTTGCAACTACTCCATAGAGTATTATTCACCCCTGCCCCTGGCTCGCCACTCCAATTGTTTAAACAGATGAGGAAGCTGAAGCTAGAGCAAGGTAAGTGACTGCCCAAAGTCACGCAGTTGGATAGAGACCAGAAGTGCAAGTTGAGGGGTTCCTGGGGGGCTCAGTCAGTTGAGGTCCAGTTCTTGATTTTGGCTCAGGTCATGATCTCCTGGTTTGTGGGACTGAGCCCTGCATCAGGCTCTGTGCTGACAGCACGGAGCCTGCTTGGGATTCTCTCTCTCCCTCTCTCTCTGCCCCTCCCCTGCTTGCTCTCTCTTTCAAAGCAAAGAAATAAACTTTAAAAAAAGGTGCAATTTGAGTTCAAGCTTTGTTTTATGCAAATTCTGTCTCTTTCTGCTCCGGAAAAGAAACTGATCAAGGAAGGCTTCCCAGAGGAGGAGGTGCCTGAACTGCTCAAATGGCAGTCCCAAATGTGAAAGGGTGACAGCACCCTCTGGGCAAAGGCACAAAGATGCAACACAGCACATCCAGTTAAGAACACAAAACATGGTTCTTAGAATGTGAGCTCCTTGAGGACAAGAAGGTGCAGCTCCTAGAATGGGGCCTGGGGCTCCGCAGGCACTGTTTGAAGGAATGAATGTCTGGAACACAGTGTACCTGGAGGTGAGGCTCGGAAGGTAGACCTGTATCAGAAGATGGTGGGGCTTGTAGACAATATGGAAGGCTAGTGGAAGAGGCGAGAAGGGGACCTGGGCGCATGTGCAGAGAACACGTGAGGAGAGAATCGGCTGCAAGGTGGTTCCAGGAGACAAGAGGAAGGCCAGAGGTAAATCAGGCTGGGGTAAAGGAACGACAGAGTCAGGAAACGTTTAGGAGTCAAGGTGCCTGGCACCACTCTGAAAGGGAGGGGTGATCTATACGCGTCTGCAGGCAGAAAGGCAGGAGCAGTGGAATGATGGAGGATGGTACCTGTGGAGGGAACAAGTGTGGGTGGTGGATACCCCCCGCCCCGTCCCCGCCAGGTAGGCTGCAACCTCAGCAGTCACTCCGTAGGTTGCAAGCCAGAGAGGGAGGGGCCTCCCGGACGCGAGAAGGCATCAGCAACCTGCCAGAACCCGGTTAACAAAGGCAGGACTACAATTCCCAGCATGCTCGGGCCCAGTGGGGTGACGGCGGGCGGTGCCTGCGCCGCACCCGCCTGGTGGGCGCGGGACCTGGGTCGGCACCCGAGCCTGTCATTCCGGAGGGGTCCGCGGGGGTGCGGGCGGGCGATGCACCCCTATCCCCCGCGCTCCGGCCGCGCCGGGCTCGCGCCTCCCGCCCCGCGGCCCCGCCCCTTGCCCCACCCCAGCCGGGCGGCTTAGCTGGGGCCGCAGCGCGGCGGCAACATCACTCTCGCCGCGGCTGCTCCGCCCCATCCCCTTCTGTTTTTCTCTCTCATTCTCCGGTGGCAGCGGCGGGGAAGGTGGAGGCAGGGGCAGCGGCAGCCGCGCTGGCTGCAATGAATGATCCCCCAGCGCGGGGGGAGGACCCCAGGTGAGCCTCTGCCCTCGGGAGGGCCGGGACCCCCGGCCGCCCAGGACCAGCAGCCCCCGCCATGGATCCCTAGAAGAGGAGGAGGAGGAGAAGACAGCTTCGCCGCCCACCCCCATCCCATTTTCCTCTTCCTTTATCTCATTGTTGCCGTAGCTGTTTACGGCAGCGCTCCCTCTGCCCCAGCATGGGGCGGGTTCCGGGCACTGCCATTCGGCCGGTGCGGCTCCCGCGGCTGCCTGGGGATTCTGCCTAATTCTCCCTGCCCGGCCGGTGCAGCGAGGACCGGAGAGCGGTGGAGGCCCGGACTGCAGCAGCGGCGGGGCCACCTCCCAGCATCCCCACCCTAGGAGGCTGCATGCGGATTGAAGAGCGGCGCCTGGGGGCTGGGCCGGCCAGGCTGATCCGGACCTAGAGAGGACAGCAGGACCGCCCAGGCTGCGGAGGGGCCCTGGGGGCAGGAAGGACAGAGCAGCAAGATGGCCAGTAAAACCAAGGCCAGCGAGGCCCTAAAGGTGGTGGCCCGGTGCCGCCCCCTCAGCCGGAAGGAGGAGGCTGCTGGTCACGAGCAGATCCTGACCATGGACGTGAAACTGGGCCAGGTGACCCTGCGGAACCCCCGCGCTGCCCCAGGGGAGCTGCCCAAGTCCTTCACCTTTGATGCCGTGTACGATGCCAGCTCCAAGCAGGCGGACTTGTATGATGAAACCGTGAGGCCCCTGGTAGACTCGGTGCTTCAGGGTTTCAATGGCACGGTGTTTGCCTACGGCCAGACGGGCACTGGCAAGACCTACACCATGCAGGGGACCTGGGTGGAGCCCGAGCTGCGCGGGGTCATCCCCAATGCCTTTGAGCATATCTTCACCCACATCTCTCGCTCCCAGAACCAGCAGTACCTGGTCCGGGCCTCCTACCTGGAGATCTACCAGGAGGAGATTCGAGACCTGCTCTCCAAGGAGCCTGGCAAGAGGCTAGAACTAAAGGAGAACCCGGAGACCGGCGTCTACATCAAGGACCTCTCCTCCTTCGTCACCAAGAATGTCAAGGAGATTGAGCACGTGATGAACCTGGGGAACCAGACCCGGGCAGTGGGCAGCACTCACATGAATGAGGTCAGCTCCCGCTCCCATGCCATCTTTGTCATCACGGTGGAGTGCAGTGAGCGCGGCTCAGATGGTCAGGACCACATCCGTGTGGGCAAGCTCAACCTGGTGGACCTGGCTGGCAGTGAGAGGCAGAACAAGGCAGGCCCCAACACAGCCGGAGGGACGGTCACGCAGTCCACGGGGAGTGGCGGTGGCGGTGGTGGTGGTGGTGGTGGTGGTGGTGGTGGAGAGAGGCCTAAGGAAGCCTCCAAAATCAACCTCTCACTGTCTGCCCTGGGCAACGTGATCGCTGCTCTGGCGGGGAACAGGAGCACTCACATCCCTTACCGGGACTCCAAGCTGACCCGGCTGCTCCAGGACTCTCTGGGGGGGAACGCCAAGACCATCATGGTGGCCACCCTGGGGCCAGCTTCTCACAGCTACGACGAGAGCCTCTCCACCCTGCGCTTTGCCAACAGGGCCAAGAACATCAAGAACAAGCCCCGGGTGAACGAGGACCCCAAGGACACTCTGCTGCGGGAATTTCAGGAGGAGATCGCCCGCCTGAAGGCCCAGCTGGAGAAGAAGGGGATGCTGGGAAAGCGGCTCCGGAGGAAGAGCAGCCGCAGGAAGAAGGCTGTGTCAGCCCCAGCCGGGTACCCTGAGGGGCCAGTGATAGAGGCCTGGGTGGCTGAAGAGGAGGATGGCAGCAACAACAACCACCGCCCGCCCCAGCCTACCCTGGAGTCAGCCTTGGATAAGAACATGGAGAATTACCTGCAGGAACAGAAGGAGCGTCTGGAGGAAGAGAAGGCGGCCATCCAGGATGACCGCAGCCTCGTGAGCGAGGAGAAGCAGAAGCTGCTGGAGGAAAAGGAGAAGATGCTGGAAGACCTAAGGCGGGAGCAGCAGGCCACAGAGCTGCTCGCAGCCAAGTACAAGGTAAGGGCCCCAGAGAGCAGGGGTACTCCAGAGGTCCCCAGAGGGATCTGGGTGACAGGCTTTTCTTTGAGGGTCTGTGCCCTGACCTGAGTGAAGCAAGGTGTCCTCCCTCAGCGCCACACACTGCCCTCTTGCCAGATGCTCCCCTGGAGCAGCCAGGCAAATTCCTGCGATTCCGGGCTGCCAGGCAGAACCTTCCAGGAGCGCCTAGGAGGACAGACAAACTCACACGCATATACACACGAAGCAAAGCAGGCAGGTGATCTTTCAAGCCAGTGAACCCGAGCTGGTCTCACCTACTGCTTGTCCATCTCTGCTGGTGCCGTCTGTGTCAGTCGGGTCCATGGGACGACCAGGTCAGCCTCGTTTGGGTGTGGATTGTCTTGCACAGCCTCCTCCCCTAGGACCTCCTCCCTCTGCAGCACCTTCACACCTCACACCATTTTAACCATATCTGACATTCGGACAGCACTTCCCGGTTGACCAAATGCCCCACAAACGCGATCTCATTTGAGCCTTACAGGAGCCATCCAGGGTCCTGGTTCTTAAATCCCCACCGTAAGGCAAGGAACTAAGTAAGTCTCAGAGAGGTGACATGACCAAGGTTCCATCCTACAAATGGCAGAGCTGAGCTGGAATGCCTGGACCTCGGGCTCTTTCGGTACTTGGATGGCAAGGTAGGACTAGGGATGGATCCAGCTTCCCATGAAAGCAGTCCACGGGAGCCATGCAGTGCAGAGCCTGGTCCTTGGTAGCATCAGGAGGGAGATTCAGGGATCACAGAGAGGGGACGAGAGAGCACTGGGCTCTACCCTGGAGCCCTGGAGTCTAGGCCTAGCTATTCTATAGCTCATTAAGTGACCTTGTATAAGTTGCTTCCTCCTTTTCTCAAACCTCAGTTTCCCTTTTTGTAAAACCGAGGTGGTCTCGGCGATCTCTGAACCTCTTCCAACCTGAGAAGCAAACTGGCCCCCACACTCAGGCCTCGTCCTGGTCCCAGTAAGAGCTAGTTCCCCATTGCCCTGAGAGCTATCTGGGCCTTCCTGAGCCGTTCCCTTCCCGATGGGGGCCTCCAGGCCCTAGGTGGGGCTAAGCTACAGAGGTCCCTGCCAGGCCAGCCACAGACCTGTTAAATTTCACTGCTGCTGATGCCACAACTCAATGGTCCAGGTATTTCCGGGTCCCTGGATTCCTCAGCACTAGGGGTTGGAGGAAGGACACAGGGAACCATGCGCTTGCTGGTTCACTTGCTGGAGAGAAAAAAACATTGCTATTTTTTATGCCCTCTCAAGAGTGTGGGCTGGGGATCAGGGAACCCAGCCCGCGGAAGGAGAGCGGCAGCTGCTGCAAGACGGGCAGATGAGCTGTATGCCATTGTCTGTGTTTATGGGAATGTGTTGCTGCACCCGCGGCTCTGGCCTTGCATATTTAATATTTAATTCACCTCCGTGAGCTCAGCAAGGGTTCTGCTGAGGTGCTTCCTCAAAGAACGGATCAGGGGCCCGGCACCTTTGGGGCCATCCTGGGAGAAGCAAGATGTTAACGGCAGAATAGTTACACTCAGCTCTCCCTAGGAGGAAGGGAATCCAGGCAGTCTGGTGCTTTCCACTGGGAAAGCTTACATGGGCAGGAGTCTGTCATTGGTTTCATTACCAAGAGTGCCCCCTTACCCCTTACCTTCCCTTCTCCGTCCTCATGTCCCTTAAGGCTGGGAGGCCGTGGAGGCTGAGACGGTGCAGAAGCACACTTCAGCCCTGACGAAATGGGTAGAGGGGTTGGAGTGAAGGATCCAGTGGATTCTTCCCGCTGGGAACAATGGGATCTCCCATTGTTGGCAACTGACTGGCTCCCTCAGTAAGATTCTTGGATCTCAGGCAGTGTGGGCACAGATAATAGGATGGTCAGGAGATCAGGGCAGCCAGCGCCAGAATTCTTGCTCTAAAGGCATGGTCCACAGAACCCTCCTTCTTAATGCTGGCAGGGCCTTTGGGAAACTGAGGCCTGGACTTGCCCAGGGCCACACAGGTAAGTTAAGGAAATCCTAGACTCTTTATGCTTGATCTGGCCTCTCCATGACAGCAGCATCCTGATGTTACCTGTGCTGCTTGATAATCAGAAAAATTCATTTTTCTGTAACTCTTTGACGTCTTCACCTCAGGCAACCCCAAGAGATGAGAACTACTTGTTCCCATTTGACAGTTAGGAAAACCAAGGCTGGGGAAGTCGAGTGACTCTCTCTGTGCCCTCAGCTGATAAGCAGTGGAGCCAGGACTGGGACCCAGGTCTCCTAATGCCCCCAGACCTGTGCTCTTCTCAAGTCATCACGGTCCCTCCATGTTTGCTCACTGTGTGATTCAGGGCAAAGGCCTTCGCCTCTCTAGGCCTTAGGTTTCCGTTCGCCTAATGAGAAGTCCCGCATATCTGACACATCTCCCTGGGGACTGGGAGAAACGGTCATCATGTGCCAGGCTTTCAGACATTAGTGGAGGGGGAGGAGTGGCTGGGAAATTCCAGGAGGGGAATGAGTCCATGTCCTGTGACTTCTTATCACACCCAGCCCGGGACAAACAGCAACAAGCAACTCAAAGTGGAGCCTGGACGGAGGACCCCAAGCTCCTCGTACCTCTAAGGCGCTGGCTGGTTCAATGTTGGATGTTTCTGGGATGGAGGAAACAATTTGAGGACTCTTGAGGGAATCACCAGGGCAAAGAGGGGAGGAGCGAGGTAGAGATAATCCCGGGCCTGCCTATTCCACGGGCTTGTGCCAAAGATTAAATGAGATCATTAGTGGGTGGGCATTTGAAATACGTTGAAAGAGCCAAATAAATGGAGGGGCATTAGCAGCCACAGGGTGGCTTCTGTCTACCAAGCAGGGGTCCAGTGATCTCCGGGATTGACATCTTTGTTGTTAGCTTGACTCTTTCCTTGCCGGGCCGTCCCCCACGGCCTTGCCATAACCCTGCAGCTCCGGAAGCAGAGCCGGGCAAGAAAGACGTGGGAGAACTCAGAAGGCTGGGAGCTCGGGTGTCTCCTGGAAATTAACTGAGCTTCTGCTCCCCATCAGCCACACTCTCCTCTGGTTCCCACTTCTGAGTTATGGCATCAACTCCCCTTCTTGCCTCCCCCCATTCCCTTCTTCCTGCTCACACCACCCTCTGGGGGCAACTAAGCGGTAGCTGATGCGACCTAGTGCCCTCGTTCACTCTCTGACTCATCTTCCACCTCCAGGCTCCCTGCTTCCTTTGTTCTGTCCTCACTGTGTACAAACACAGTGCCTGTCTCCTTGGAGTCTCCTTTCATCTCTCCTTCTGTGTTCACCGTGGGCCTCAGGGGGTGTTAGGTGTGCAAATGTGTGCTTGCTTGTGATTGCGATTGTGACCAGCGCCTGCGCCTGCTTTCTCACGAATCGTTAGCAACCCTTATGTAGTACCTCCAGGGGGCTTGATGGCTTCCAGGGCCTATGGGGAAGGGGGCGCAGGGCAAGTCACAGACCCACAACTGAAGGCTGTGGCTCTGCCGACATGTGTCTGGGCACAGTGCACGGACTGCGGTGAGCACTGGTGAAAGCATATGGATTGGTTGGGAGAAGGCCCACTTTATTCACGTTTAATTGTGCAAGGCGTTTTTGTTTTTTTTTTTAATTTTTTTTTTAATGTTTATTTCTGAGACAGAGAGAGACAGAGCATGAGTGGGGGAGGGGAGAGAGAGAGAGGGAGACACAGGGTCAGAAGCAGGCTCCAGGCTCTGAGCTGTCAGCACAGAGCCCGGCGCGGGGCTCGAACTCACAAACCGTGAGATCATGACCTGCGCCAAAGTTGGTCACTCAACCAACTGAGCCACCCAGGCGTGCCCCGCAGACGTTTTTTAAATGACTACTTTAATTTCGCACTGAGTTGTTTGAGGGATTGGACCAGGTAATCTCTAAAACTTTGATCCTAGGTACTTAAGAGAGAAAACAGAAGTGTGTCTCGGGGAGGTCAGGGCTGCAGATGACACAAAATGAGGGTTCCAGTTAAAGAGAGGAGGGGAAGAGGCATGCCTGTTGGTCCCCACGTAACTAGGTCTGGAGGGAGAAGAGCAGGCAGGTCTTGGCCGGAGCCCAGCTCTGTCTGTGGTGGGTGTAGAAAAGAGACCCTGCAGCAGCCGCTCCCAAAGCCAAAGGGATGAGGTCATTGCAGAGAATACAAACTGCATTGAATTTTTATTGTCCACTTTGTAGGTCCCTCTTCTTCCCCTCCCCACCCCCCCACTCATGAGCACTGGGATTCACCACGAGAAGCTATGCAAAAAGGGAGTTTCAAGCTCCAGAAATAGCAGTGATCACAGTAATAATGCCGTTTACTTAACACTTGCTATGTGCCAAGCAGTATACTACATAGTGTATTATAAATTATGCAACTTAATCCACACAAGCACCTTCCAAGAAAGGTGGTGTCACTCTTCCCATTTTATAGCTGTTAAACCGAGGCCCATGGAGGTTAAGTAACTTGCCCAAGGCCTCATATTTTGCATGTGGCAAATCCAGTCGAGCCCGGGTTGGTTTAACACAAAATTTGATCCTCTTTTATGCTTAAAGAGTTAGGAAGATCAGCAACCTGGTTGCTAGGAAGGTGGTGGAAAATGGCAGGAGGTTGTGTGGCTGCATTGAACTTGAGGTGACAAAATCCAATGGGCAGCTAGAGATGGATCGGTGGAGTTTAAGAGGAGGCACAAGAGGGGCGCCTGGGTGGCGCAGTCGGTTAAGCGTCCGACTTCAGCCAGGTCACGATCTCGCGGTCCGTGAGTTCGAGCCCCACGTCAGGCTCTGGGCTGATGGCTCAGAGCTTGGAGCCTGTTTCCGATTCTGTGTCTCCCTCCCTCTCTGCCCCTCCCCCGTTCATGCTCTGTCTCTCTCTGTCCCAAAAATAAATAAACGTTGAAAAAAAAAAAAAAAGAGGAGGCACAAGACCAGAGATGGAGATTGGGGGCCTGTCTTTAGAAGAGATCTTAAATGGGACCCT